AGATGTCGAAGATGTGATCCCGAAGCCTGAAAGCCGGAACCGGAAACCCCAAACCCCGGTTGCTGGTGAGCCAAAGTCGGCACGATGCAGACTTGAGCGACAGAGAAGTGGGGAGAAGAAGTGGGGCAAACGAGGGCGATGGACCCTGAACGGTTGTCAGCCATGCCAAGAAGGGTTGAGGTGCAACTCGATGGCGAGTGGACTCTGGTGGGAGTGACGTCTGACATCATAATGTTGCGCATACATGCATATCAGCACATCCACACAAGTTTGCGAGGTTGAAGGAGAGCTTGAAGGGAACTCACAAGCAACTCGCGGATCTTGGTTGCCCTGTGAGGCGCCTTGTGGCAGGTCGGTTCCCAGATGACCTCAGCGGTCAAAGCCCCTTGGCCAAAGAGACGCCCTTGGACCCTGGCTGAGTTTGGCAGTGGGTCAGCGGAACTCCGCATGGCATTGGCATGCAGGGGCCACTCCGTTCCGGCAGTCTGGGGTTGTTAACTGGGCACCGCAGGCAACCGCTCCGCGGGTCGAGATCCCGAGATTTGCCATGAGGTGCCGGGCTGATGGCGAGAGTGTTGTTCTTGGAAGGCCTCACGAGCTCCTCTCTCTCTTCCGTCCTGCTTCCTGCTTCCCAAAACCCTAAACCATCCTAAGCCCTAGATCCTAAACCCTGAGCCCTAAACCCTAAACCCCTAAACCCTAAGCCCTAAATCCTAAACCCTGTAAGCTCTCTTCTCCGCCTCTTCCGGTGCATGGCAGACGGTTTTGAGGCCCGGGGCGTCTCGCCCCAACCTGGACGTCAGCTCCAGAGCTGCAGATAGACCGGAGCAGACGTGGAGCCACATGAAATGTGGTCTATATATATATATAAATACATATATATATATATAATATCTATAATATTATGTATATATATATATATATATATATAAAATGCGCAGTATAACATATAGTATGTAACGCATAATATGCACGTATATTTTATAATATTTGGTATACACATGCATGTAAACATATATATATATATATATAGAGAGAGAGAGAGAGCTATGTATGTATATACAGACAGTTCATCATGCAATATAAATGTGGCATGGAAGGCTAAGGTCATGTGAGATTGTAGCAGGGTGGCTTTACTACATCTCGCGGCATCTCGCGGCAATGTCCTGTTGCGCTGAGGCTTCGAGGGTGTGCTGCCTGGCGAGAAGGCTTTGAACGCGCAGAGTCTTTAGAATTGACTTGAGCTTGCATGCCAACGTCTGCAGCGATTGGCAGTCCTCGGCATGGAGCATGAACGGGCCACGTGCGCAGGTTCACAACGCATTTAATCCGTCAGCCCGGTCCCCGGCACTTGCAGTAAATGCGGGCTTTGCATCCGAAACATCCGTCACTGCTGGTTCAAACCAAAGTCCAGCGGGACGTATCAGAAAGACTCTTGCACACTGCACTCACAAGACTGAGGTGTTGCTGATCAACAAACCCTTTCGTGAGGTCCAGGCATCGGGTGCCATTCTTGTTAATGAATTAAGGTACGCAGTGGAAGTTGCCGCAATAAGGAAAACAGCTTTTTGCCTTTTCGGCTTCCATTAAGATCCTTACAGAGAGCCAAGCATGAATGTACTGTCTGGCAGGGCCGACTGCTGATCTCGAACTACCGGCTAAAGTTCCAAGTTCCCAAAGGGACGTGGAAGGACAACTTGGCATGGTGACTTGGAGAACATCCTGATGTTGCACCCGGTTTTATATTCCGCCGCACCACAACCAGCCCAAAACAAAGACATGACGCTCGCTGAATTAGTACACCCACACCCCCTTCGAAATGTTGGACATCAACACCCGAGACCGTCATGCCCTAAATCGGGATCTGCGAACGAAAGAGGACCTACAAAACCAACCTAAAACTCTTGGTATTTGTTTGACCCCCCATATCCTAAACTCCTGGTGATGCATACTCTACTCTCCCCTTACTTTAGGGTCCCTATATCCCTATATCCTAAACCCTAAACCCTACACTTTCGCCAAAGCCCGAAACCCTACGCCCTATATTCCTTAAACCTCTAAACCATCTTAAACCCTGAACCTTAGGGTCCAGGGATTAGGGTAAACCCTAAACCCTAAACCCTAAACCCGGGTTTGAGGTTTAGGGTGGGTCCTAAAACCCCAGGATCGGCGAGAAGCAGTTGCTTGACATCCCTTTGGGACTCGTAGAGGTCCTTGAGCTGGAGGCTCCCACGTCCCAGGCGCAAGCATCCAAAAAAACGTATCATTTTTTGAAGAGGGGGGGGTTGTCTGTTCAGCTTTTTTTTTTAAGGATGCTTGAAAGGACCTTGAGGGTTTTATAGCCATTTTGTTTTTGATTTTGTGGTCTTTAATTGAGATGTCTCACTGGCCTCAGTGCTTTTGAAGAGCCCCGCGTCCTTCAGCAGGCGGGAGCCCAGCAGTGGCGGTTGGTGGTGTCCACGAAGGACTGTAATTACCCAACTGCTCTGTTCACTTAGTTCAAAGGCTGTAAGGTAGATGGGATTGTTCCGTCGTAGCAAGAGACAAGTAGCCGCAGTGACGGTAGATGGGTTTATCGTTGAGGACTCGGACTTGTGCGCAATGGTGCGTTTCGGAGATGGGCCACGTCGTGCCTGGAGCTCATGATCATGTCAGGACTTCCGCAGCATCGTGGTTCTGCTTCCGACCGGGAAGGACCGGGGATGGCCTTTGCATGCTGCTTCGAAGAAGCTCTCTCAGAAGCATTTCTCGAAGAACGGAGCCACTGCGCCAAGTCCCAAGATGCACAGAAACGGCGAGGACTTGGGGGAGGCTGAAGAGGCCATCCTCGCGCTGTCCCAGCCAGGCAGCTTTTGCATGCAGTGTCTGATTTCGTTTGCTTTCGGTTTCTGGCAGCTCGATTCTGCTGCTCCGCAGGTCCAGCTTACACTTCTGCCCGGTTCTGAGTCAACCCGTGCGAGACATGCGGCAGAGGTTTGATGTCGTGTCGACTCAGGAAGCAGTTTTGTAACCCTCAGTAGAAGACTCGCAAGAGTATCGTCGACGGCATAGCCTGATTTTCCTGATTTTGGCGCACATGTAAGTGCGTTGCCTTGGTGAGTGCCTGCGCGGGAAGCAGCTCTCCTCTACTGCCAACCTCTTCGGGGTTTAGGGTTTAGGGGTTTAGGGGTTTAGGGGTTTAGGGTTTAGGGTTTAGGGTTTAGGGTTTATGGGGGTGTCCAGGCCCTCTTCGCCTTCCAGCATGTTCCTTGGCAGCAGCTCACGAGAGAGAAGAAGCAAACCCAAACTCCTGGTTGGCTCATCGTCGTAGGCCGCCTGTCTGCAAACTGGGAGACGAGATGACGGCTGGAGTCTCTTTGATCCCCGAGCCTCGGCGGGCGACCCGAGAACATGGTGCAGTCAGAGCAGCAAAACTTGGATATCTGACCGCATCCGACTGCAGGAATGGAGTTCGAGAGGACTCCTGCTGCGCTTGTTGCCCCACAAATATCCTTATAGTCCCCATGTTATATAACTATACCATAATAATATACCCCAAATCTTATGCCCGAGAAGTGGGTCCCCTCCAGGATGGAAGTGGAAGCGTCCCCTTCGTCTGCTTCTGGCTGCCCCTGGCTGCTGAGTTTCTTGGTCATGTTGGACTTCTGCCCGAGTCTTTGGTATGCGCGAGTCACAGTCCCAGTTAACTTTATACACGTGGAGAAACTGGTGACTGCAAGCTCAAGCCTTTTCGTTCTGCGTTGAACTGAGGTAGCGTCAATAGTGCCTTTGCCGCATCTAGCAGCAAAAGTTCGAAATATATTGCGGTGACACCGGGTAGGGCGATGGAAATGTGGGTTGGCATTTTCGATCAAGGTGCCTACCAGCTCTGCGACACATATCCTGCGTTCCTGGCGCTACCGCGCTGCATCAAGGATGAGGAGCTGCGCAACGTTGCAAGCTTTCGGAAACGAGGCAGGCCAGATGCAAGCAGATTCAGCCGTGCATCATCTGAGTGATGCTTGAAAGTGGGATTTGATCTGATCCTTATTTAAAGATGAATCATTTCATGAAGGACCTTCTTTAAGCGTCTAAACAGGCCGTTTGCCGACCATGAGTTGGTGTGGCGGGCATACGCGCAGCTTCGCCTCACTCTGGCGTTGCTCGCAGCCTACGGAGGGGCTTATGGGCACCTTGTGCCTCAAGAATCTCAGGGGTCTTGCTCGGACATGGAAGTGCGGATTTTGATGGAGTTTTGCTTGAAGACAATCTGGTTCACACCCTACAGCATGTCTTCCAAGTCATCTGAAGAGTTCGGCTTGAAGCATCCCATTATCTTCTTGGGGAGCTGGTAGTGTCTGAGGCAACAACTGCCAGTCTGATGAGAAGATGCTATATGCCATCAGGCGACTGTCGAGCTGCAAGTTGTGTTTTGAGAGGGAGCCATTGGTTCGAGGTTTGGTTCAGGTCTAGATCTTGAGAGAGTTTGATAGATGTTCAAGGCTTGGTGCCACTGCTGGACGCAACCGCGAGCTGCTGGTGCTGGATCTGCGGCCCAGGACATTGCATGAGACCGGAAGAAGAAACGGTAGGGATGGCTCGGTTTCACTGTGGCCCAGGTGAGCAAACGCAAGTTCGAGCATCCGACATGACATGCACCCAGGTCACGAACACAATCTCGTGGTGGGACACTTGCAAGTGCCATGCAGGAAAGCGGCCTATGCCAACAAGGTTGGCGGCGGCGGTTTTGAGAGCTACTCGTCGAAATTGCGACATTATGTCCCGGCTTGCAGGCCGTGTCACTGCTGTGGTGCAATTTGTGCGACTGATATCAATCTGCCGACATGACGACGTGGGGCTTGTTGATGCTGGTGATGGCGGTTGGTGTGGTGGTGGCGGCGGCGGCGGTGGTGGTGGCGGTGGTCATTGTCGTCGTCCTCGCGGTCAATTCCATGGGAGTAACGATGCTGACGTTCTGACAAAGGTGTTGTTGTACCTGATGATGTTGATGGTGGTCGTGGCGATGATGACGGCAATGATCAGGCAGGTGCTGCGGCTGAACGTGGATGGATATGGCGAGCAAGATTTTGCTTGACAGTGATGCTATCGCTGCCATGGTAAGCCTTTGTTGTGTTTCTTGTTGTTGTCGTTGCTGGTGTTGTTGTGTTGGTGTTTTTTTTTTTTTTGTTGTTTGTTTGTTTGTTTGTTTGTTTGTTTGTTTGTTTGTTTTTGTTGTTGTTGTTGTTGTTGTTGTTGTTGTTGTTGTTGTTGTTGTTGTTGCAGATTGCTCTTTGGGTTACTTGGTCTGATGCACCAGCCGAAAGTTACGGCATGCCCAACTTTTTT